TCGTGATTTAAAAACTTAATGGCTGCAGAACAGAACAGAGGCAACTTCTTCTTTTTTTTTTTAATGTGGATTTGTTTCGTTTATATATGTTAGAATATGAAAAATAAATTGATCCTTTTCCTATCAACTCAAGCTTTTGGAAATAACTTGTAACCCGACCTATTATTTCACGTAATATTATAGTTATTGAATCTTTGTTGTCCTGTTTTTATTAAAAATTAGATTGGAGCACAACAAACTGCAGGTCTATGTTTCATTTACACATTTATCCTATGGGTTTGCATGTGGGAGGGAAAGTTAGAATATAAATAAATTAGGTAATTTCCTAGCGTTTTAAGTTTTTGGGATATGATTATGTAACCTATTACAACATGTGTATGTCTATGTGCATGACCTGGAATTCTTGAGATATAATTATTGAACCTATTTCTCAATAGATGTCTGTGTGTATGCATATATTATACGGAATTCTTTGTCTTCATTAATCCAAATGATTTGATAGAAAAACTTAGGAGATTTATGATCAACTTTTTGTGTATATTTTCTTCATTCGAACGTGTTGTATGTTGTTGGCTTGGCCTTCTGGAATTGGGCGCTCATGTTCTTGTTAGAAAGTGAAGTGTGGTTTACATACCTTTGTGATTACTGATTTCTTTCTTCCTTCATGGAAGTTCTACCCAGCATCAAGGCCATTGGCCTCTTATTTGAGTAGTCACGACATCTATTTATCATTTTAAGTCGGTTATTTATTTTGCAGCCCTGAAGTTGTTAATTGTTCAGCGAGAACTGGATTGGATATGTTGACCAAACACTATGCAGAGGCTATTGGGTTTGACATTGTTTTCTTCTTGCCCGACAGTGAAGATGATTTTGCTTCTTACACTGAATTCCTCCGATATCTTGGTTCAAAAAATCGTGCTGGAGTTGCCAAGTTTGACAATGGAACAACATTGTTTTTGGTGCCCCCATCGGATTTCTTGACAAAGGTACTCAAAGTTTCAGGTCCTGAACGGTTATATGGCGTGGTTCTCAAGCTGCCGCCACCAGTTACTAGTGCTGTATCCTTTAGACAGGAGGTGCCTAAGCCCCTTCCTTCATCCTATGTGGATCGACAGCGGATTGCTCCTGCCGAGCCTGATTATAACATATTCCATAGAAAGGAAGAACAGACTCTTGCAATGGATTATAACAGGGTTTTGCTGGAGGATTCGAAGTCTTCTTTTAAACCAGGTTTTCCTCATGCTGGTGAGCCTCGTGTCCAGCTATCTGGTCCCAAAGGGCAACAACCTATGAATACTGCATCAATGCATCAAGGTGGAGTCACTTTAACCCCCGAGCTTATAGCAACTCTTGCTTCCTTACTCCCAGCAGCTTCTCAGCCTTCAGGTCCAGAAATTCACCCGGCTTCTCTAATTTCTTCAACTGTTAGACCTCCATTTCCTCAAACAGTTGCACAATCCAGCAAAGAAACTTCATTGTCAGGATGGAACCAAGACCAGCAAGCTTCTGATTCTTCAGGTCATTCATTTCAGCAGATGGGGAGTCATTATAATCCACAGGCACATCTATCACAAAATCAGCATTATCCATCTGTCTCCAGTGCACCCAACTTTTCTGCACAGATGGTCCTTGGAAGCACTCAAATTCAAGAGCCTTCTGTCAGCCTGTTGCAACAGGCTGCTGTATCGTCAAGGCCATTAGCTAAGTTAATGATCTCTTCTCAGGGTTCACATATTGCTACTTCCCCACCTGTCAACCAGCAATATCAGCAGGAAGGTGCTTCCACCGCTCAAAAAGGATATGGAGTGGTGCATGCAACTGATGGTTCTGGAGTGTATAGTTCACAAGCTTTTCAGCTTGCTAACAACCCTGGTGTCATGTCTAATCAGGTGCATAGTGCTAATCTGTCACAGCCTCAAAATACAATGCCTATATCAGTTGACAGAGTGAATCTGGAGCTCCCTTCCCAGGTGCAGCAGATTCACTCTGTGGGTGCAGTAGATGCAGAGGTTGATAAGAATCAGAGGTACCAATCGACTCTACAGTTTGCTGCTAGTCTCCTCCAGCAGATACAGCAGAAGAATCAACCAAATACTCCAGCTGGGAGAGGAACTGCAGATCAGTTATGAAGGTTCCCTCTTGTTCTAGGTAATTGCCCCTGCTATACATAATAACTGCTGAATTATTAATCTCTATATTCTGTTAGTCAAGTTTCTAATTTTGTGCTCTCATTTGCCATGTTTGCATGTGGAACATAGTTGTTTGTTCTGGGTCTATAATTTCTCCATGCTCTCATTATCATGTTTGCCTGTGGATCATAGTTTATTTTGAGGCTAATTCCTCTAGTGTGTCTACTCTTTACCATTTGCGGAGTTAAACTTTGGATGATCTTCTTGGTCACGCCTTTTGAAAAGCTTTCTGACTTATGGAAGTTAACCTTGTTTCAATATTAGGAAAACTCCAATGATGGTGTTAAGTTCTTTATATGGCAGCGTTACATTATTCTAGAATTGGATGATTATCAGAAAAACTGGAGTGTGGTGATTGTTTTGGAGTGTCTGATACTGTAAGGAGCACAGTGGAAGAAGACTGATCTCTCTATCTATTACCGAGTTCTTTTAGGTTTTGGGATAGTTTCATGTGGTGAGGAGGAAATGAGGGACTTGATTGGAAGTCCTTAAAAGAATAGGAGTTGCATGCTTTTGGGTCTTGAAGATATGGTTGTCCGGAAGACTGAATTTGTTATTCGACACAGTTAAAAACTTAGTAGCTTTCTTATTTTTTTTTAAAAAACCTTAATTGCTTTCTTGTTGCTCTGTCTGTTAGATATATTCAAGAGTAACATGTTATGAATTTTAGGCTTCGCTGGCAGGCTGAACTTCTTCTTTTGTAAGTTCAAACTCATTTGATTAAACAATTTTCATGGTTGAATGAATTTAAATCGAACAGTGTCAAAAATTGGCATGTTTGAAGTGCCTTCAAATTGATTTTTATTTGGGGTTTTTCCCCTACTGTATGAATTTGCCTTTTTTTTTATGGAATTACCTGGGCCACTAATTATACGGGCAAAGGGGTGCCTCTCACGTGCAAAGGCCATTTACTCAAAAATCATTTTAAAAAAAATAGCTACAAGGTGCTCTAGAATGACTTGTAAAGGAAATACAAATTTACGAGTTTGGAGCTAGTGATCTCTAGTTCTGTTGAAAGCAAATATTCTAAAAAAGTCTTATGCTCCGTTCTTTCATAATAATCTGAAGACCCTCTACGGAGTTCTTATGTCAAGATTTACAAGAAGCTTATTGATGATCTCTATCAATTGAACATGTTAATGTATGACGTTGCTATGTATGGGAGGTAGCTTGTAAAAGATGAAATGCTAATTTAAGTTGATTGTATTTCACCACTGGAGTACAATTTTGGTTATAAGGAAGGAGATATTTTTACTTCTTTGTTTAGTAATGTTTTGAAATATATAGGAAAAAGAATCTACTCATAAGGCATCAAGAGGGTGTCACCTGTGTAAATACAGACAACAAAATTTGTAAGGTCCACGCGCTCCCAAATCGGTGACTAAACCAAAGCACCAAGAAAAACCAAATATCTCTAACTTGGTGAACAAGTTTTCAATCCCATTAATAACTCTAATGTTCCTCTCTTTCATATGTAACAAATGATGGTCGTCATGTGATAGTTCTTTGGAGAAGGCCTCCTGTTGCAAAAACAAGGCGAAGTTCAAAGCTTGTTACTATGAGGGATCCGTGGTAGATAGTAGATACATGTATGGACTTAAATGTGGATACAACTGAACACATGACGTCGTCCTAAATGGAAGAATTATAAATGCTATTGTTATGGATGCTATTGTCGTGGATGCTATTGGTCAAGTGATTGTTGCCAATTTGAATTCATTCATCCTAAGAGGTTCACTCACTATAAAGACCACTTTTTTTGACGAAAGTTTTTTGAAGCATCATTTTTATGTGATGGTGAGTGGGAATAAAGACTATCAATTTGCAACTTGAATTCAGTTCGCCAAGGAGGTTCACTCGCTATAAAGATCACTTTTATTTTGACTTGAACTGATTGAAGCATCATTTTTGTGTCAAGGTAAGTGGGAGTAAAGGCTATTAGGTCGATGTTCCTCGAGACTTGCCTGGAAGAGATTTGATATTTTATTTGAGGAGGCAAGCATATGTGTGAGGAATGATCTATAAGTATAAATGGAAAAAATGTGAGTTGTTAATGAACGAAATCTTCCAGAAGTGGAAGCGGTTATAGTCCATGGTTTGATAAATTAATCATTGGGAGCTTGTGCTAAATTAATTAGATTTCCCTAAGTATAGCAAGATATTTCGTACAAAATTTCTAGCTTGGAAATTTCTTGTTGAAGTTGTGACTTTCGAGGCGCAAATTGATAACCTTCATAGGGATCCTTCTAAACAAATGAAAAAAGAAAACAAAGAAGAGAAAGGCAAATGTGAAAGTTAATATGAAATGATGACCCGATCTTTATAAGTACTTATAGAAATATCCTTTTGAAATTGATTTGCCTTAGCCAAGGACAAGCCCGAGAAAAGGCAAATCTTATTCCATAGACTCGGCCATGTTTGCTATAAGTTCTATAACCTCAAGCCAATCATGGTATTGTTGAGTACTTAACATTCCCTATCTTCTCTATATTGGCATTCTTCGTCCAAAACTCGACCATGACTTCCTGGTCTTTTCTTTTAAGATTGTGGCATTGAATTTCAATTCAAGCTTTAAACCTCGGACCTCCTTGGCTGCTACAAGTTTTATAACCTTGGTTAGAGATGGACAATGTCTGTGAGTTTTTCTTCATTTTCCTATCTTGAATTTAATTTAAAGATTCGTTAAGAGAGAAACTTACCATTTTGAGTAAGAAAATACTCAAAACTTTGATGAAATTCTTCATGCATAATCTTTCAATAGAGACATTGGGTCATGGCGGGTTCAATTTGTGGGGAGATTTAGGCATGGGATGGGTCATGTGTAAAAAAAAAAAAAAAACATTGCAAACATTATTCCATTGATGGTTTTTTGGGTTATTCGGAAAGAAAGGAATTCTAGAGCTTTTGAGGGTAAAGTTAGTAGTCTTTATAGTATTAGAGATAAATGGATGCAGTCTTTTGGAATCATCTTATTTGGTCATGATATTATTAGTGATGAGGATTTTGGGAATGTAATTGATATACTAACTTTTATGTAAATCTTTTATACATAGGTGGTACCCAGGATTTGGTATCCTGTTAATAAATACTGCGTACCTTTTATTTCAAAAAAAAATATTTAGTAATACATTAAAACTTTATTGATTATTGTTCTTTTTTGAGCAAAATTGAGGATTCAAATATTTTTAATAGCTATAATAAAATAGAATTTACTTATATTTTCTATTTATATTTTTTTTAACTAAAAGCTACATAAATTTGTTTTTGACTGTTACCAGATTCAGAAGCTTTTTTCCATAGTTAATTTATATGGAGTTTGGGGAGGTAAAGGAATTATTGATTATCGAACAATTGGAGAACAAACAAATTGTACTCTTTTTGTTGTTAATTTACAAGGAAATGGAAAAGGAGATTTTCTTGATGTTGAAAGTCTTTTTGTCCTTAGAAATGAAGAATTTCTTCTCCCAATTAGGTAGGGAACATGGAGAAGGCAAAAACTTGGCTTGCCTGTCACTGTTACCTTCGTGTCTCTCTCTTTGGTTTCTTTATGTATGTATGATTCAGGACATGTTAAATTACTTAGACAATGCACATTGATCAAATAAAAGCAATAAAGGAAGAAGGAACATGGTTGGGCGATGTGCTTACTCTATGGAGCCATATGAGGAATTTCCTCTGTATGAAGAATCACCTCTTATAATTAGGAATATATAGGGAAAAGGAGAGAACTTAATTTTATAAGAATTCCCTTATAATAGAAGCAGCCTAAGGTCAGAAAATACTGTGAACGGTAAATCCTATGTTTAAAAAATGTAAACAGTACATCCTCTTAACCACAGCTGAACAAGACAAGATATTTCCTCCTTTAGTGAACCTGCTATCATCGAACTCAGACCCGAAAATCTGTAAGTCAACGTCTAGATCCTCTAGGCATGTACTAGCACATAAAAAACATGTTCGCATGACACAGCGGCTCCCTTGCACAATATACCATCCATTTGCTAAAGTTTTTCTTAAAAAGGAGAGCAACTATATAGAAAAAGAGAGAAACTGTCTTCATTTCTTTTCTTAATTTTCCTGGTTTTTACTCGGTTGCTTGATTATTTTATCAACTAGCCCTTTTCCTTCTTTCTCCTGTGCATGTGTTTAGCACCCTGCATAAGTGTTCAAGGCAGAGACTTGTAGGAATTAGAGCTCGGACAGTCAAATGTGCGGGTCTTAATATGTTTGTGGTCTGTAGAGCCTGGTGCAAATTGGTACAAATACTGATACTTGGTGGTATAAATAAGTTGGTTAAACAAGCCTAATACCTGTGTATTAATGTCTATGCTCTACGATAGGAATACATTTTTTGCAATGTGGATGGGAGTTAATATGGTTAGTATTAGAGAATATCAGGAACAGAATGTGATTAGAGGAGCATCTATACAAGATCAGACTAGAATGGTATCTAAATTATTGTGAGTATACAGTTCAGGAAGGTAATATTCATTTTCCTTCCATCTATATAGAAAAACTATTGAGAATCAACACTTTTACTAGAAAGAGCAATGGGGAGATACACGAACTTAAGACATTTATTTGAGGACCTCAACCCAATAAGGAGCATAGGACCATTATGGCTGAAAAAGTTGGAGATTAGTTAGATATGAAAGTATCGTCAAGTGAGTATAATACAAAAGACATTGAGAAAAAAGATATGCATCATGGTGGCAGGAATATGCTGGCATTCTGATGAATATGAATCGACATTTTTTTTTCTCTCCAAAAATGTGTATTTTTTAATTTAAATAATTGTGAGCTCTTTTCCTAATGCCAATCAGAGCAAAGCAACTTTTTATAAGGAAACACACAACAGAGATGATACCTAAGTATTGCATTTCAGTTGGAACTTGTCTCAGCATCGAGACCTTCCTGCTGCAAGGTGATGCTTTGCCCTCTGCTAGAGTCCACTTCTGGGTCAGAGGATCTATTGCCCTGCTTTCTTGAGCTGCCAAGATAGTGGCCATTGTTTTCATTCCTTATTTCACCCTGATATGAGAGGGAATGTCAGTACTCTGCCCTATTCTTTTAATCCTACACTGGGTTGTGATGCAATGGAAAACTCTTTTTCTTTTTCTCCCAACAAAGCTGGCCCAACTGGATGTTTGTCTAGCCAATCCCAACAGGATCGACCTTTCACCTGCCCCTCGTTCTGTGGTACTTGCCTTCTTATGGTACTATAGCGCGTTTGCCCAAGTTTATGATAGGTAGTGTTTTCACGTTTTCATAAGCTTTATAGTTCCATATGTCGGAAGAAAACTTTATTTTCTGAAGAGTACGCCAGAAGAAAACTCAGGACAGCTATTGTTTAGTTGGATGGATAAAGAATAGGATGGAGTAATCTAGAGTAATAGAGAAAGGACTGGTAGGCTTATGTTGTCTAGTTACTGTCCAAATTTCCTTGTGCTTAAGTGCATCTTAACATTGCCTGCAAACATAAGTACTTGCCTATCTATATGCTTATAAATATATAATCCTTGGAGTTCTCTTTTCCCTTGAGTGAAGAACTAGTTAGATACATATAAGTCCGTCAATTAATTTCCGAAAAAGGATATTGCTTATATCTTTTCTGGTTTAATGTGGGAGGGATAGAATGATATGTCTGTTGTCTGCCGGGACATTTTGACTTTTCATCGTGGATGGTATATTTTACTGAAGTTTAAGGTGGGATATATCAATTTGATACTCCATTTGTGGACATTGTCTTCTATGTGATGTTATGATTTTATAGGGATTTTATTCGTGAAGTGGGCAGTGAAGTTACTATAGATGTCAGATAGGTTTGTCACCTTAGTTAAAAGTGATACCTCAAGCAACTTGTCATTTCTTCGGTGTTAAATATTGTATTTTAGCTCCTAAAATGGGATGCCAAGTTTTGAGGTTTGTTTCTGGACCATTTGATTTGTTATGAAGTTTTTGGACAGTTTATCTGAGGATTCTTTTTCTTCTCCCCCTTAGAGAAGTTCACCTGAATGATTTTATCTCAACCTGTTGTGAGCAAAGATTTTTTCCTGCATCTATATTTGATTAGTCAAACAGATTTTGGGATCCCAATGTTTTGAGGTTTATATTTAAGATCATTTGATTGACATTGAAGTTTGTTTGATAAGACATTTGATTAGTCAAACAGGTTTGACGATCCCAAGGGTTTGAGGCTAATTTTGCTGTCATTTGATTGAGGTTTATTTTGAGATTATTTGATTTATATCGAAGTTAGTTTTAAAAAAAAACTAGTTGAACGTGTAGTTGTGTGCTTCAAATATGTTGTTGCATTATTTATTTGAAGGATTTTTCTTAAGAGTTGACCTGAATGGTTTTTTGGAGTGTTCACCTGAATTACTTTGTCCTGAACTATTGTCAACAAAGATTTTGTTCTCTAGTTACAAGTGATGAATAATGATTTATCTGACTATTGTTTTCTTTATCTTTGCACATGATTCTCTTGCTGCTAAAATTTTCATCTTGTATTAGATATTCTGCAACATACATTAATCAAATACTGAATGCTTAAAATTTGAACATGCATCTTTGGTTCTTTCTGTTTTTCGTGCATGTTCTGTTATAATTATCTGAAGGATATCATGTTACTTATTACATTTTCTAAGTTGGGTGTTGTTATTGCATAACCTCTTTACTCTTGCATTTGCATGGGCATCTAATTCTCACTGCTGTTTACTCATGCATACTGTTATATTAATATGGTATTGTTCATTGACTTTACTGGTTACATTATCATTTTACTACTGTTACTTTTACCTTTATAACAATTTTTTCTTTGTCCGAGGAGCATTTTCTCATTTTCAACTTGCACCTGTTATTGGGGAATGGTAGGGAAAGTCCTTTTAAACTTTTGAATTGTAATTATTATAACATTTACTTATGTAAAAGTTGGTTTCACTGAATTGAAAAGACTATTCTATACGTGGTAAAAAGTGTTCCTTTCTCGAGTATATACCTTCTACAATAGAATTATCAAAGACTTGCTTTAAGTCCATCTTAAAAATCATTATCCCTGAAAGATATTGAAATTATTAACTCAACAATTGCCCTGAAGTTTTGGCTAGAGAAACAAAAAGTTGAATACACGACCAAGGAGACATCGTAAACACATTAAAGTTTACTTTGGGATTAGGCTTCTCTTTGGGTTGTCGCATTATATGGGCAGATTTATCAATTTGGATAAAATAGTGGCTAGCAAGATGATAGACATCTTCTAAAAGGTAAAGAATGCACTTAGCTAATAAATAATATAGATGTTCTGATTAGAGTCCCCTGCCTTGTGGACCTTAATAGACATAATTTTTAGTCAATGTAAATAGCTATTTGAGGGATTCGCGCTGGTGCAATCTATTTAGATTAGATAGTTGGAGCAACGAAACATAATGGGCACAATAAGCGTATAGCAAATTAATTTTATCGAATGGTGTTCAATATGCTAGAAGTTTCCTGGAGGTGGTTTAGTACTCAATGGTCTGCATTATCGGCCAATGTTTTCTTGCTAAATTGAGGTCCAAATGGTAATTTCCTTCGATCCAATTTGATCATATCTAATACAATGCGAACTGAATTGAAATTGAGAGAGGATTATTTCAAAAAGAAGAATCAAAACTGAGAGGAATGTTTTTCTTTTACTAATTCAGCTGCCTGACTTCGAAAAGTAAGAAAATTGGAACCTAGATAGAGTCTATCAGTTTGTTATATGGACATTGTTTTTCCTGTAATTAACTAATTTGCAATTCTCAAATTCTATAACTTGACTGCTTATGAGTATGGAAGTTCATAATAGAGTTACAGGGATAATTGGCAATGAAAATTTGAAATCAGAAGCAACTTGGGCTTTTCAAAGATTGAGAAAATGTTCGTAGCAGGTTCTTATTTATGCGGTACGTAGAGTTCATAAATCAATGTTTAGCTTCCTGTGTTCTAACGAGAACGTTAACTACAGCCTCAATTGAATTGGTTTTAGCTGCAAAGATATAAAGTTCACCTGGAAATTTTCATTTAACACGCTAAGGACACGAGTCATAAACATCAATATTTTCAATCTAACGAACGGAGAAAAACTAGTGTAATTGAGATTTGCGTGAAGATTGGAATTGATGATTTGCTGGAATGAATCCTGAGTTCTAGATGTTTGAATTTTGACAGTGTTTCCGAATGGTTTTAAGCTTTTGTTGAAGACCTTTCTTGATTTATATTTGCAGATACTTGAGGTAAATTTTTACTGGAAGGTTTAGGCTTAAGATCTAAACCTGCAACGTAAACGTCGTCAATTAATTTTTTAGGTTCGTCTTGAAACTTGGTTTTTAGGTTTTCTTTCTGCAAGATTGTCTGGTCAATCGGAACTTTCTATCTATCGATCTTACGAAAACGTACGAGAATTATGAACCAATTCAGTGTTTTTAGGAAATATGAAAGCAATCTGAACGCCTCTGTATTGTATTCTTTTTCTTTTTCTTTCTGATGCGCAAGGTACGTTATATCCAATTGTTCTAGACGCCTGGAATAGATCCTGAGATGTGAAGTTCTTATTCTGTTTGCTTCTGGATAGTTTGACATGATCAGGTCTATCTATATATATATATTTATACACACACACGCATATATTTAACGTAACTGCGAATCATGGGCATGTCAGAATGTGGAAAAATCATGAGTTTATGACATTATCAGGTCTTTATATATATATATATATATATATACATTTAAGGTAACTGCGAATCATGGGCATATCAGAATATGGAAAAATCATGAATTTAAATCCTAACCCACGTTTATTCCTACTACAAATTTAAATACAAATCATGGGAATTGACTTTTTAGTAGTAACAAACGGCTGTCTGTCTTCAATCTGTGTAGGTTGGTGATGTACGGAGAGAATACTCTTGATCGTTGACAATACCAATTTGCGCTTCGCGGTGATTGCTCTACATACATATATGTATATATATATATATATATATGCATATATGTATGTAGATATCCTTTTCCTGTATAAGCCTTTTGATCTCTCGCGATGACTATTATAAATCTTTCGTTCAAAACGTGAATGGTATCATGGGCCTGCCCCCCCCTTCTTTCCCCTTGATAAGCGACGTGACGAAGTGCTTTTTGCGGCTTCTTCTACTATGATGCGTTTAATGTACTTCTCTTTCAAGTTGCTGTATTTTTCTTTTTTTTTTTTTTAATTCTAAACATTTTATAATAATTCTGTAAATTTGTGTAATAATCACTTAGTATTGTCGTACAATGTTAAGTCATTATTATATAAAATTACTCAATTATTATAAAATGTTAAAAGAAACTATCGTGTCCGAACCGTAGTAAATTTTACAAACAATCTTTTGTTTCGGGAATTCTACAAACAATCCCTTGTTTCTTTCGATGTTTCGGGTGGTTTCCCAATTTTTGTCTTTTAGGGTTTTAGTTTTCGGTTCTTGGTTGCGACAATTTTGGTTCTGTAATTTTGTTTTTAATGTCAAATGTAAACTTCTTCATCGTTTTCTTCGAGTTCCAATTTATTTTATATAGATTTGTTGGTCTTTATACATGTTTTATTTTTACGGTAATATCAATATAATTTTGTAGGTGGACTTTGCCTACGTTAATTTTATTAAGAAAAATAAGAAAGAATAAAATTTAAAATTAATTATGGAATTTTAAATTAATAATGGTTCGAGATATTCTATGAGTAAATGTAAAATTATTTATAATTTTATTGAAAATAATGCTTCAATAAAAACTTAAATAAACGTGTTTTTAATTTTATTAAAGTTTCTATACGTATTATTTCAATTTTATTTACATTGTAGATTCAAAATTATATCTTTTTCAAATATAATTTACATTTCATTAGTTCAAGTAATTTTACCTTTACAAATGAAATTTAGTAAAACGACCAAAACGACTGCGTTTTAGCTATTCTTAATAAGGAAACTGTATTTTTTTAAATTGGTTAATTAAATATTTTTTTAACATTAAAATTGCAGTAATAAGAAAAATAAAAAATTTATTTGATGGAATAATAAATCAACATAATCTACATTTTTATTACTAAAAATTTTATTAAAATATATCTTTAACAAAATTTAATTATTTTTTAATTGTATTTAAAATTGTTTTAAAAAAGTTATAAACCTTAATTTCTGCGAGACACGTGGACATGTACTCGGTGCTCCCTGTTGGAGACCTGACTGAACACCGACTGAGGGTATGTCAATTTTCTTTTGCTGGAAAGAGAGAGAGAAAATTTGAGAAGCCATAAAAGGAGAAAGACGGTGGATTCGTGGTTCGATGAAAGTCGGAGTGAGTTTTTGGGAGAGAAATATTGGGAGTGTAGAAATGGGGTTGGAGGGAGTAGGGGATCTCTCTCTGCATATAGTTTTATCGAAATTAGGAGCAGAAGACGCTGCAAGAGTGGCATGTGTCAGCCGGAGGTTAAGGGTTTCTTCCTCTGAGGACTCCCTTTGGTCCGAATTCTGTTCCCGGGATCTTTGTCTCTCTGCTCCTCTCGATCCGCATGGAAACCCCGCACATTCTTTCAAGGTAATTGTTCCCGGATTTCGTTTCTGGTTTTTGATTCTCTTGGTTTTCGTTGCTTTGACTTTTACTTGTTGGCATTTGGATTCTTGGTTTTACATATCTTCTTTTGAATGTCTGTATGGTCGCCCTGATTTAGTCAAATCATTTTGAGAAAAGGCAAAGATCGTTCTGCAACTTTTGGAAGTTTGCCTGGTAAAATGAGTTGGTGGAGGAGAGGAACACCTTTTTTTTTTTTTCTTTTCCCGTTTCATCACAGTTTTTGGTTTGGCCTATAAAATGCTTAAATTAAAATGTTTAGCTATTTTGAACTATTCTTAATCTCTGATAATATTCATTTTAGTAGAAGAAAATAAAAGGAAAGAAAATGATATATCTACAATCATCTTCCTCTATCTTACTGTCTACTTTCCAGGCTGCTTATCAGTCATGGAGGGAAGCTTTTGGTATGTATCCTTGGGCCCTTGTCAAACGAGTTAAAAGATGTTGGGACAACCTGAGGAATTGGCTGAGCATTAACTTTCCGGAGGCTCATGCTACCCTTCGGGGGGGTGCATCTGAAGCTGATATTCAAGAGTTAGAGAGTGCTTTGAAACTGAAACTGCCTCTTCCCACAAGGCTTCTTTATCGTCTTTGTGATGGTCAGGAGTTACCCACTGGGAATACTTCCAAAAGTGAATTGGGCCTAATAGGTGGCTACTCGTTCTATACCCATTTGGTTAATGTTTATTTGTTACCTATAAGGCAGATAATTAGAGAAACAAAGGATATTGTTCGTCAACTAGGATTTGCCAGAAAATCCAAGTACATTGCTGTGGCAGAGTCTCTAACATCTGATGACAAGTACTTTTTCCTCAATTGTACTAATGGGCAACTGTATGTTGGGACAAAGAATCTTTCGAATCTTGGAGAAATGTTGCCATGTGTACCAAATGCATTGATAAGATCTGTGCACGATTTAAATGGTGATCAACAACAAGATGCCATGCTGCTGTGGTTAGAGGAACACGGAAACAGGTTACAAAATGGTGTCATAAAACTTCGTGGAGAAGGGGCTGCCAGGAGTATAAATTTGTTTCCAGAGGTCTCTCCATTGTGCTCAGCTGTTGTGACAAATGGTGTTCAGGTAAATCTTATTATTGATTTCTTATATATATCATTTATGTGGTTAATCAACTCATCTACTTCTGTTGGGAGGAAAGCACAAAATTATGGTCGATATTTTCATTGCATCCTGGAAAGAAATAGGGTCTGACAATGTCAGAGTTGCTGAGCAGCCTGTCCATTGTCCATCTGGGTGGATGGTGCTTCAGTTAAAATATAAGTTTTGACTACAAGTTAAATGTTGGAAAGGCAACAGACGTGGATCTCTAATTTACAATTGTTTTAAGAAGTGCATCATCTTTGTGTGTATGCTCACTGTCTTCCACTAATGATAAATAAAATCCAATTTTTTGTTTTTGGATAAAAGAACAACATTGAAGGGACAGAGAGTTTACAAGAAAGGAGAGGATTGGATTTACTCCAACCATAAAAAAGAAAAACAATAAGAGAGAAAAGAAAGTTCAGACAAAATAGATATCTAATTCATTTGCAAAGTAGATAAGGATATCCTTAAAAAAACCATGGACTTCAGCCCAAAACTAAGCAAAGAAGACCACTCTATCCTAGACCATCTGAGGTGGTTGAAAAAGATGCTCGAAAGTTCTTGCTTTTATTCCAACCAAATGGCACATAAACTTGCAAAAATGCCCCCTCTCCCAACAGATTATGCTCCTTTGTCTGCCTTATACCCCTCAAGGTAGTAGAGACAAATAAATCTAGTTCTTTCTTTCTTTTATTGCAACTATACACTACATTATCTTGATATTTTTTTTAAGTTTTCTGAACGTGTGGAGTTCAAGACCTCTCAACTCTTTTAGTTTATTTTCTTTAATTTGTTACTGCCTGTGGAAGTTTTGGAATTTTCCATGTCCCTTTTAATTTGGGTATATGCTGCTACTTTTGGGCCATGATTTGTATAGTGTGGAAGATTTTGGGTATCAATTTGCTTAACTAATATGTGATTCATTTGCACATGGGATGCACCCCTTGGTGCTTTGTTAATAGAAGCTACCTTATGTAATGTAAAAAAGCCGAGGAAAATAACGTCAAGTAGAAAGGAAGAAGGTCTTACGGCACGATCACTATATCTTTTTTTTTTTTTTTTAATGGAAAGAGGGAATGATACGTGGCGTGACATACCTAATCGTTTGGTCAACAAGACGTACGTAAGTCGACATAGCTCCATGTATATGTTCTTTGGAGCTAGAATCCATAAATAGAATGAAATGAAAGAATGGTGAGCCTAGGGTGACGAATATGGCTCAAGGGTGCCTATACAAAGGGTTCTCTTCTTCTTTTAAAGAGGCAATGCACTCTTTGAATGGTACTTGACTCATAAAGAATGAATCTTTTTGTTAGAAGTTATACAGATTTTTATAAAAGGATTTGCAACTAATGTGTGATTCATTTGTACATGGGATGCATCCCTTGGTGCTTTGTTAATAGAACTGCACTTTTTTATTTTCTTAAAAAAATTATGGGTATATGCTGCTTTTATTATAGTTTTTATGACATTTCATGTTCTTAGATGTATAACTACTGAGTTTTAGTGGTCTGCCTGTCAATGTACGTTCAGTAAGAAACTTGTAATAATATCATATGCTTACAGGTTCGTGCGTCTGCTGTGTTTGTTCCGGAGTTCGCTGATATCCATGATGACTCCGAGAAGTACTGGTTTGCATATTCAATCCGCATGTCCCTCCTGCCTGAAGGGTGTATTATAAATGGGATGCACTATAACTCCTGCCAACTGCAACGAAGGCAGTGGATCATCCGTGCCAATGATGCTATAGTATCCAATGTTAATGCAGAAGCTGTGATAGGGAAGGTATGCTGAAAATATGTGATACGGAGACTTTCATAGGGGGAAGGGTGCTGCTTTTGCTCTTGTGCAATATAACACGGTAGAATTCTTAATTTTTGAAATTTGAATTAAATTAAAGGAGTTTAGGTTGACTGGGGATTGTAGTGCTAAATGATTAAGGGTTGTCCTTTGAGTCTATATGGATGATTTTGCTGGCTATTGAGGATGGAGAATTGGAGAAGAAGGAGAGAGTTTTCCTTTTTGGAGGAAAAAAAAGTAGAAGGTGGTGAAAAATTGTAAGGCTGAAGCTGGGTTTTGGAAAATGAGGGAAGAAGCGAAGAAGTTGAATGGTTGGAGGTGCAAAGTTTTGTCAGCTAGAGCTGGGAAGAAGAGAAGACACAGCTTTGAACTAAAGTTTGACATGGCTTTTATTGTGGGGGGTTTTTAAATTATATGCCAATTTGCACTGGAGACAATCTAGTTTTGCCAGAGTGACTGAGTCAACTTTCCCGGCTCATCTAATAATTTTGTACTAATGAATCACATGAAAGGTCTAGGAAGAGGTGTTTAATGTTCAGTCTTGTCCCTTAATTCAAAGGGGCAATGGTGAAAAAAGTGATGCTAATGTGACACTTGCACAGGTGAACAAAATAACATTAAGATGATGAAACTTGTTTGAAGCACGGTGCGTTGCTTGACTATATGTTGTTGAGTTGAGTTGTTAGCATTTATGAGCTACGTGGATGTGGAGGACTGAATCACAAAACTTTCAGCAGTTGTATTGATAAGTGACAACAAGCTTATTGCATCTTAAGTTGTGTATGAAGTGGGAAGCATCCCTGATGATTGTACCTGTGTTGTAGAGTTTCCTTGTACCATGTCATACACGAAATGAACAATGACTAGGGTTTTGGAAACTGTGAAGAATCAGTTTCTTTTTTTTTTTCCCTACTTTTCTTTTTAATTTTAAAAAAAGAACTGAATCTTTTTATATATTTGCAGTACCCACTCCTGCATCCAAGTGAGGAAGAGTTTGTCTACGAGAGTTGCACCCCTCTACCTTCTTCCTCTGGTTCCATTGAAGGTTTTTTCACATTTGTTCCTGGCAGGTATATCTTGGGATTTGGTTCATTTTCATTAATTCTTAGTTTTATTCTTTCTGAGTCATAATACGCAAAATTAGAACGTTTTTTTTAAAACAAATATGCATAATTAGAACATAACAAATTAGGTTTTAACTATATATATTAAACTAGTACGAGAATAGAATAAGGAGTTGAATAGAAATGAACCATGCATAGCAAAAATATTCATATTGAATTTTTTTTTGTACATTATCGATATTATTCATTATTTCTGTAAATAGTATAGTTTGACCCCCCGGGATCATTAACCGACGAGGGATTTGTTTTTTGCTGGTTCTTGTAGTTTGTTCGATCCAAAAGGCAGTGAATTCAAGGTTCAAGTGGGAAATTCCCCCTTGCAGCTGCCGGAGTATATTTTCTAGTAACCCTCAATAGTCTGTATGGCAAAACTTGCTCTCTCTGTTCTTCATTTTGTAGATATGGCTGGCAATATTGCTGTCTCTCTCTCTCAAATGCTTCAAATGGGTTTAAGTAATTGTATTTTTCACAGGCTTATTTTTATTGTTTTATTTTATTTTTATGAAGAGCTTATTTGGTGTGCAGTTGGACTCCAGTTATCTTGACTTGTATTTTCTTTTCGAGTTATTGGATTCATTAAGTTCACATTGCTACTTAATTATTTATCCGAGTTGATATTTTAGTTAAAAAACGGAAGAAGACAATTTCATTGTATTGACAATTTCAAATAACTGCTCGTACTATGAACGTAGTATGAGAGCGATCGGGCAAGTATGTTCCTCATCGTTTACTGGTTCAGGACGTCTCTCTTTCAAGAATGGCAATGGGGATTCGACTTTCTCTCGATGTAGGGTACTACAAAAGGAGGTTGATAATGGATTATCAATAACTTCAAATTGATTCCTCTTAGGTCGATGTCCGAGCAGTTAATGGGGACGGACTGTAAATTCGTTGGCAATATGTCTACGCTTGTTCAAATTCAGTCGGTCCAATAATTCACTTTACACCACTAAATGATATAATCCATATATATATTTTTTTTCATAATTGGTAGTCAGCATGGAAGAAGAAAAAAAAGTCAAATTTTTGTGTATATCACTGTTTTTATTTCTATATTTTTTATTTACTCTATTTATTTTGTTCACATAAATTCTGATCTGGGTATCGATTTAAATTAATATCGGGATCATTAAGTATTAAGTATAAAGTTTAATATAGTTACGATGTATATAAGAATACGGCTGATCATTTAATTTATTTATACATTAATATAATAATACTGATCAAGGGAGGTTAAACTTATTTTTTTTAAGAAAGTTAATCGTGAAAATTTTGATCAATTTTTATTTAAAAATTTGATGAGTGTTTCGTGTTAAATTAACGAAAATTTTGATCGAATTTTTTTACTTAAAAAAAAAAAAAATCAAATTTAAGTTGACTTTTAAGTAAATATCATGTGGTGGGTAGAATTGAATACTACATTAATTGTTTATAATTTGAACTTACCTACTTAGATAAAGTGTGACATTTAGATATTATATTTATTTTGAAGATCACATTAGTCTTAAAGTTGATACTTAGATAAAACATTAGTATTAACAAACTATATATCTTGATACTACACAAACTAATTTGACTTTGCTT